CTTCTAATACTTAACATGCAAAACAGAGTCATTTAGTATCGATAACACGTTCCCACTTCCTCCAGAAATAACCCTGTAACCTTGTTCCATCCCAGGCAAAACTCTTGCATAGGCCTAGTGCTTATTAAAAAATACTAATATTGAGCAAATTATGTATAAAGCTGCTTAAGATTATTTTCTATAAATAGAGCATTGCTAAGCACTGTTTCAGCTTCAAATTACTGGTTTTGGAGCAGGAATTGCGAGGTGAAATTCTATGTACAGACTGAACAGTTGCAGCACAGTCCCTTTGGCATTAAGAACTGTGAGCTCCTAAATGAGCACAGTTAGTTTACCTGTCTTATGCTCCTGAGGTATATGATTTCTTTGACTATTCACAAAATAACTGGTTCCTCCCTGGAAATGTTGATAGATACCAAATGTTTCATACTTTTTAGCACAAATAATAATTTGTCCTTAAATTTGTCCTAAAAATGTTTCTCCTAATTCCCATATTTAGAACCCATTGATCATCCCAGCCAAGGAGTGGAAATAATATCATGTGAATTAGATGACCAGACTCACATCACTGAGTAATGGAAAAACAAATAACTGGACAACATAAAAATAATTCCTAGGCTGCAGTTCAGTGAACAGCTTTAATGAATGTACTCAAATACTGAGCAGTTCAGAAATCAAGAATAAGTCAGAGAAAGAAAAGAAGGTTGAATTTATTGGGTGCTATATTTGTGGTGAACATTTCCACCAGCTGTAGCAAGCACGTTTCCATCATGAGGCTGACGCTGTCCCCTTTGCATTCTGCTCACCACCTTTCCTGATGCCCAGGAGCCTCTTAATTCCTTCTCTGTTGCTGCAGCTCCTAAAACTGCTTTATGTCTTTTATGCTGTCATATTTACTTGCACTAAAAGGTACTGCAAACCAATATACAGTTATGTATAGCATCACTTTTTACATGTCACTATATTAAAGAGCCTCGTAGTATTTCCATTTTAAACCCTCATTTCATGTTTTTTAAGTCCTGCCTGCTTATAATTACATCACGCTGAAGACAACAGTGTAAATGTTAACCCCACAGACTGATTTACAGGGAATGGTAGGCATCTGTTTATTTTAAAATATGAGGCATCAGAAAAGGCAGTGATTTTGCACAGTCTCTTTTTTAAATACTAGGCTTTAATTCACAAGAGAACACAAAAGCTCTGATTATTTACCTTGTAATGGGAGATAAGTTGAGTGGAATTAATGGAACTACAGTATTAAGAAATAGAAGGAACTGGCTAAAATTTGTCAAGGGTTGTCTTTTTTATGTTGTCCTTTACATGAGAACACAAGGGATTGCTTGAAGAGATTCAAAGCTGACATATAGAGTGAAGAAAAATATTTTTTTCTTTATAAAGTATATGATCAGTGAGTGCTCTGGGGGTTAATCAAGGCAAACCTTGTGGCTGAATTACAAATAGGAGCTATCGATGCCATGGTGTATTAGAAGCAGCTATTGCTTTACAGAGTATGGGTCATGGCTATTGGGTTGTACCCTGTTTGGATGACAGCAACAGTGGGGTATCGCAGGGGTCTGTCCTGGGACTCGTCTTTATCAACGACCTGGAGGAGGCAACAGAAGGCACTTCTGTGAGGTTTGCAGATGACACCAAACTGGGGGGACCAGTTGATAGGCAGGAGGGCAGGCTGGAGAGACAGGCTAGCATGGATGCTGTTGATCATGGATGGGAACAAAGCTGTGCTGTCTCATATAAGCAGAGCATGTGATACAAAATGTACTGATCTTTCTCAGCCTCCTCCAGTTCTCTTGTTTACAGTGCAGCCTTACTTGTTAGTTGTTGTATTCTGTTTAATCTCTCTTTGCAAGTGGACTACTGGGCATTGACCAGTGCCAAGGGCCAGGAAACATCACTCCACAGAACTACCTTTATTACAGCTTTCAGTATGTTACTGTTCTTCCTGTCCCTCAGGCCTTGGTAAATCTCATAAAATCCTTTTCAGATTGAAATCCTACTCTTCCCAAGCTGTAACGTGTTTTACAGCATGTATTTCTCTATAGTTTTCTTTTAGTCTCTTGTTGACAGTCTTTAGGTATCAGTTCCTTGGCTGGTAAATGTCTTCCTTATTCTTAAATTTATCCACTTTGTTTTGTTCAGAGCAATGCGTGGGGATAATAAATTGGCTCACAAGTACTTGACACTGTGTCTTAATTCTTTCTACTATGCCAGTTTTTCATAATACTGAATCCTAGGGATGCCTGGAATAAGCCAGCAGCATTTTTCCCACTTACACATCTCCCAGAAGAGCTGCAAGCTGCCTGGATTTCTCTAGTAAACTCACTCAATGGATGTGCTTCCACAAAAGGTGTTCCAATAGTTTAATAGATTTATTCCAGAATATGGTAATAAACAGTTGTTTCAAGTGTCAGTTTTAAGGCTTGCAAAATGTAACTATGTACATGTATAAGATCAGAGCATAAATCAGCTCAGTAAAACAGCTTTGTAAATATTTATGAGCACAGGGCTCTTTGTTTCACACTTACTCCTCCTGTGTCCTCATCTTAAATTTTCACTTGCTTTCATTTATGGCTGGTAGTCTGGTGCCGAGTACCTGACATTGCTAAATTGCCACCTGTTTTCTCTGGCATTGCGTATACCACAATCCTAAATCTTTATTGACTGGAGGTGAATGTATGACCTATAGAAAGAAACCTGTTTGTATGGAGGGGCAGATTCTGAATTCTGATGGATCCGTGTGAAGTTTAGCAGGCGCCATGTTGCTGAACTGAAGCATAGCCTGGGTTTGTTCATGTGAGCTGCCATCCCTGCGGTGGCTGCAGGCGAGGCAGGACCCAAGTTCCTGTTTGTGTTGGTCTTTTGGATGGGGCTGGTTATTCAGGAGGGAGAGGAAAAGGAGAGACATGAAAAAGGTGGTTGAAAGGTAAAGGTGTGGAACGAAAAGGCTGTGAAGGAGCAGTGGGAAAAGAATCAGAGCTGTCAGGATACAGCAGACAGTCTCGTGGGGACTGCAAAGATGAGTTATCATCTCATGCAAAAGTCTTTGCCTCCCTGGCTCCTTCTCCTGTGGCTGTGGCCGTGGCCCCAGGCATCCTGGCATTTTGGTGGCCAGAGGAGAGGGAATGACCTTTTTACACCTTCCTTTGCAGCAGTCCCAGGTGAGGGCAGAAGTACATAATCATATAGGCATCTTTTTTTTGCAATTTTTACAAAGTTATGCATGTGCTCACTATTCCCATTTGTACCGTGTTAGCACTGCAATTTCTATTACTCTTCACTAATTCACACCAAAATCTCTGGCTTACTTGCATTTTCTCCCTATTTAACTAGTAGCAGATAGCACCATGTTAATTGGTATAATAACCACAAACCTAAAAATAAACCTACTGGTAATTTTCCAGTGTTTCTTTAACTGGATCCTCGAAGTTCCTGAGTGGTCAGTTTGGACTAAGATAAGTGCTATCATTTTTCTTCTCTCTTGTCTGCTGACTCTCCAGCCTTTTTGAACTGCAACCCACAAGGGGTCTGAACAGGTGGTGCTTGTGGCAATTCAGGATGGATTATTCTCATTGAGGAGTTGGTTTCTGCTGCCATTTAAACAACTACCTGTATTTCATCGTGTTTGCATTTTCATTAGTGAAAAATAGTAGAGAAAGATAACTCATTCATTTGCATGCAGACTTATCAGAAGATTACTATACATTGTACAAATTTACATTGTTTAATGTCTTAATTTAATCACACGCATGCAGATTTAAGTGTCTTTCTGACTGCAGTGATATAATTCATTAGTAATTCCCCTGAAGTCTGATGATCATAGGTTTGGCGTAAACACAAAGAAAATTCTTCAGAGAGTAGATTTTGGGAAGCTTATTGGCTCTTCTTCCTGCAGTTGTGACAGATTTTGTATTTTTTTAGACACTCCTCAAGAACACCACTGGTGTACTTGAGGAAATAAAATGCTGTTTGATCAAACAGGACATTTGTCTTTGGTGAGTCATGCTTAAGGCTTTTATTCTTTTATTTGTGTAGTTAGTCAAAAAAGATCTAAGATCTTTTGCAGGTGACTTCACTTCCAGGTATGTCCATTCACCTCATGTTTCCTGCTGGCCAGTTCCAGGCAAGTCACATCCATGGCCTACTGCAGCCCCCAGGTTTCTCTTCCGAGATGCCATGCTCTCCATATTCAGGACACAGGGCTGGGGTGGGATCCAGGTGTTGTGAGCCAAGGGCCAGTGGGCTTTGGAAATGCAGAGCGATCACCATCAAAGCATGGGCATTTCAAGAGCATCGTGAGAGGAATTAATGCTGACATTGCTCTCCAACTACTTCCTAGAAGAAAAAGAGAGCATAGTTCTGTTTTCATTAACTCTAGTGAGATTGATGGAAAACCTCTGCTTCTGTGAAATTAATTGAGTGAGAACGGGAGTGTATCCTCACACTAGCGGATACCTTGTCCAGGTGCACAAGCCAAGTCTGAGATGTTTCCTTGAACGTGCAGCACCTGTTCTTTCTGCAACAGGGATCAGCAAGCAAACCCTCAGAAATGGTGGCCTCGATGTTACATACCTGCTTTCCCTGCAGTCCCTCTCCTTCATCCTGGAGGATTCAGGACTGGGTTCCCTACTAAAGCTTCCTCTTAAAATTATACCTCTCCAGAGACCCGGGATTGTGAATGACCTCTGTTTGCAACACTAAGTACAGTAAATGCTATTGTATTATCCAACAGTAGTGAATTAAATAATCCCACTCCCGTCACTTTCTAACAGGATAATGTTAAAGGCATTCCTCTGAGATGGAGAGTAATAATTTGCTAATTCCCCTCAGTATTTCATGCTTCTCAGTAGTGCAGCTAATTTTCTCTGAGTACCTTATTAACATTCACAATGACTTTGCAGTCCCACCCTAATAGCTCTCCACAGAAGCAGCGACTGTGAAGGTGAGAGCTGACAGTGACACATTTTCCTCCTTTTTCTCTGCAGAATGTATTATCCTGGTTTCCATCCACTGAGGGCTGTCCAGCTGATGCGAGTGGGCAAACTGCAGTACAGTCAAGATATGTTTCCTCAAGCGCTGGAGACCTTGAAACAGGCCAGTATTGTGAACTGTTTCTTCTCTGTCTCCCTCCCTCGCTTCTCCTGAACCTGCCATGTGTCCCCCGCTTCTGCTCTGACTGCACCTCATGCTTTTGGATACTCTTCACCTCTTTTTCTACCAGTGGTGTTTCCCAGGCTGCAGCTGAGTGTGGTGATGGGTCACTGTTGCTCAGCGTTTCAGGCACTGACTTCCTCCAGTATCAGTCACTGCTAATCGCAGTTCAATAGCTCAGAGGTGCCTGGATGAAAAATTACTATTAGATCCAAAGAGATAAAAATATCTCAGTGCCTCATACTCTCCTTCATACCGTAGCAAAGTGAATCTGGGAGCACTGAAAGTGTAAGAACAGGAGCACAGCTGCAGTTTCTACCCTCCTTATTCCCTATCAGGGATCTGTGATTTCAGATTGGAGAATGCCTTTAATGCTTGTATTTTATTGTGAGCCATGCTCAAATCAACAGGCATCTTCTTGATCCCTCCTATTTCTATATCATTCATCATCTTTCCCTTCTTTGATCTGGTTTTGCAGCTGGTGCTCTGCTAGTTATATTTCAGCTTTAAGCCATCCCTCTTGTACCTGAGCTGACTTTTATATTAATTTCCTCCTACCCCAGGCTCTTATTTGTCCTGCCGTTATATTGCTGTTAGTAATATCTAAATCTTATCATCTATCGTCTTAAATATATTGAAGAATCCCCTTCCATGTGCAACATGTCCTCAGGACGTAGGCTCTCGCTTCCCATCTCAAACCCTCAATCACTGCTAGGGTGTTTTTCTCCCCCTGGAAGATGTGCTGCCTCCAGTTCCCCTCAAAGAGGTCTTACGCTTATTCCCTTGTATTATTGATTGTCTTGTGGTCAGCTTGGCCTGAAGACAGTACGTGCTCTGTGCGGTTCCCCCTCTCATCTCTCGGCCCACCTCCAGTGCCTGACACAGCATCCTCATTGCCTTTGCTGAGCGTTGCAGAAAGCCACCTGGCCCAGCTACTTGCCTTTTGCTGCTGGGCCGGAGCGGGTCCCTGGGCTGGCACCAGTGTTGGAAAGAAGTGCAGAAGTTGGCTGTATGTCCCCTTTGTTTAACGTCCATACTATATGAAGAGCTAGTCTTGTGGCAAAGAGTTAGGGCAGCTGCTTGGGATAGAAGGGGATGGGTGTCCGCACTGGGGGTGGGGGGAGAAGTGGTTTTTACTCCTGCTTGGATCCCCTATAAAGTCAGTATCAGTCATGACTCTCTAGATAGTATTTTGTACTTACTTTTTTCAACCCCCGTATCTATTTAGTTTTAACATCTGATTAATTATGCAAGCTGAATAACTGATAGTTTCCGCATGTTGAAATAACAAATTAGTATTTAATGTGATGCCAGTCTTACTAAGTCTTGGTAACTTAAATCTTCACTTGATATATTTAACTTAAATTATGGCCAATTCTGATCATTAAAAAGCAGATGGAAGAGTAATCAATTCTATTTTCCATGTATTATTCAGAAGTAAGGCATATATCTGTCACATGCCAGGTAATCTGCTCTGCTATTTCCCCCGTACTATTTATAATTTCCAAACATTCACACTTTCCTTTTTAGCAGGTGGAGTAAGACCCCAGTCAGAGGAGCTTCTATTTTCATTGATACTGCCACAATATATCAACAGGCATTCTTTTAACTGCATTTCTAATATGACACTGCATGAAATTAAACTAGAGTGAATTCCCCTAGAGACATCTGAATGCTGCTCATCGGTGAAGGTGGAAGTTGTGATGGTGTTTTGTATGTTTTTAGTGAAGAAGTTGCCCATTGCAAGCCAGATTGCTACTGTATTATCCTTTGAATACTGAGCAATGCCTAACACGGAAACCTTTTTTCAAGCTGTGATCTCCTCTGTCCCGGAAAAGGGAGAATATGGTGCTGCTTACCATTCTATGCCATACCTGAGTGCACGTCTAACTGTGGTCTCCAAGCTATTAGTAGTCCATAAGGACACAGTAAGTGCTTTACAGCTGAGATGCAGAACCATTTACAAACTAAGCCTGTTGTGGTTTTGCCTATTCCCTTTTCAGCCTCCCCCTTTTCACCCACATGTGTGAGACAGGGAGAGACTGAACTCCCACTCTCTGGGAGCACAGCTGAGAGGAGGAAAAGCTTCTTGTCATCCTGTTTCTCCATGCAACTTGTAAGCACAGGACGCAACACTGCTTTGGATGAGATCTGAAACTGATTCCCTTTGTTGCTGTCTACACTGGAACAAATTACAGCAAGATAGATTTCCCAGTTTGTTGTGAGTAAAGGATGTGATTCCTAATATAACTCAGATAATGTCCTAGAGTTATATGAGAACGCAGTTTGGCCCTTTGTGATTAGATGTGTCAACAGAGCATGCCACATGCTCAGAGCAGAAACTCGATTACCTTCTCTGCCTCATTTCTCTTCTTAATACACTCTGACACTGAATAGCACCCTGTTGGAGCTCTCGTCAGACTAATTTCAGTGTGGCATTAAGGAGAAGGATGTGGAAGGTGCAGAGGAATTGAGATCTGAGTGAAATTCACGTCACTCATATAAATCCTGTTTAATCAGGCACAGCCTCAGAGCTGCTGGGGATTGACAGCCTCTCTGCAACAGATGCACAGTCTGTTAAGACCAGTAGATCTTCATACACAGCTCTGCAGCCCAGCCCTTACTGCTGCTCTCTGTGCCACCCGAAAATGAATCACTGTCATAACCACCTGACTCTTAGTGCCCTTTGGGTTTAGCTGTCTGCCCTGCACCCCCAAAGAAGGCTTAAATGTTGTGGAGGGCTTTATGTCGCCCATTAAAATGAAATCACCCCCTAAAAGTATATTAGGCCCTGCAGAATCTAATTTGCCAGGTTTTGGAAATAGAAGTGTTACAGAGAGGCAATACTCCACTTCTGGAATAAAACCTGAAGGTAGCCCTTGGTTTATTGTACAACCAACATATTATTTTTAAATTTATATACATATATATAGATATATGTGAAAGGTGTAATGGTGGGAGGACAAATGGAATTATAGATCAGGAAAACCTTCGTCAGCAAAAGGCTGGAGCTGGACCCCCAGTCTGACAAACCTAATTTAAAGAGCCTGGAATGACTGTAAAAAGCAGCAACAATAACAAAAGTTGAAACAAGCTGTCTTGTGAAGAGAAAAGCTTCTTGACCGGGAAGCAGCACTCCTGCAGGAGCCCAGTTTGAATCTGCATCTCTGGAGCTCACGGCAGCCCCTAGCAAGTGTATAGATTCGTCCTAAGCGGCACTCATTAGCATAAATATTTGTTAGGTGTCATTTGTTACCTTCACAGTACTGTAAGCTCACCTGTTTGCTTGCCCACAACCTGAGTGGAGCTGGACTCGGTTTGGGAGGACAGGCAGGGTGCAGAGGGGAAGGCTTGGATACAAGGAGATGAGTTCATTTCTGAGCGTTGTCTCCTCAAAGCGAGCCGATGAGTGCTGCAGCACGTTGTCTTCGCTGCTGCTGCATCCTCTGGGCTGTGGTGGTGGTGGTGGTAGTGGCTGCCTGTACCCATGCACTTTTCTGAGCAGGGCAGCAGTGCCCAGCCACTTAGCGATGGCAGGAGGATGCACACATGTATGACACTGACCAGCCAGTTTCCCCTGCAGACCCTGCACTTGGCTGGCACGGTTGCAGGAGCACCTTTGTCCTCCCATGAGCTGATGGGCATGGCTGTCTTGTCTCATGAAGGCCTGCAATAGGTACAATATCGTTTCCCTTCTTACTGTAATCCCTGGTGTGGAGGCAAAAAGCACAGGAATTGGGGTAAAATCCCTCCCAGGTTTCACAGCGACACTGAAGAAATCCCCTTTCTCTAGGTGTTTGCTTCAAATGCTGAATTGTTTACCGGCTGTGGGTGATAGTAACTGTGATAGTTTTTGGTTTTCCTATGCCTGCTTTAGCAAGTGTCCCCTTCAATCGAGAGAGATGGAGAAACACAGATACTCCCTCTGAAATGCTAGCCTTCACTTCATGCCATTTTGGCGCATGGCCATTTGCTTTCTGCTTTCCCTGTGATGGAGCGGTGCCGTCCTGCATCTGCTCACAGTTCCCCGCAGCTGTGGTGATGGGCATCCTGTCCCATCCCCATGCAAATCAGGCACAAACGACTGCGCTGAATTTCATTTGCATTCATGGAGCAACAGCCATACCACTAGTCTAATGGGTTTTATATTCTTCAGGGAGACAGTATGTGGTTGATGACACTGTGGCCCATGTTGCTCCTTTGTGATTACTATAGTTTTTCATAATTAAATTTGTTCTTTTAGCTGAGAGGAAGACCACACAGACCACAAGACTCTGCTCAGCCTCGACTCTGCTGGTTAGCTGTGCAATTTAGGAGCAAGGGAGCGTTCAGAGAGCCTGCATGTTCCTGCTTCTGCCCAGTAAAACAATTCCTTGCTTTGGAGGTGAAATTATCCCCGGTTTTGCACTGACCTTTGCAAAAACAGCTACATAACTTAATGCCAGTTTAATTTGGGGATTACAGAAGTCATTGCTATTCTAACTTCGATGCAGCTGGTTCTGATTCGTACTGCAGCATGTGAGACAGTACATTGCATGAGAATGATTTTCTCCCTGAGGAAACAAAAGGATGAAGACTGGGTGCATTTATCTGCCATACTGAGGAAAGAAAGGGAACAGAAAGGAAATGTTGGAGGTGAGAGAGAAGTCAGCAATGGTAGCATTATCTCAAGATTAGGTTTGATATTAAGGATTTTTGCCTTTTAACAGAGGCATATCCATATGGACATCACTGGCTGTGCATCAGGCTGTCCAGGTCCATCACTACCAGCCTGACCTCTGTCCTGTAGGTGGGCTGAAGATCGCAGGACTGCGACTCAGATGTATCCAAATGCACAGCTCTTAGCACAGGTCATTCACAATAAATCCAACAGCTTTCTTGGCCAGGGCATGCGAACACCATGCACCAAGTGTGTCTGGACCCACGGCCAATTCACCTGGCTGCTTCGCTCTAGGGTGATCCTGTCCCTTCCTAGTTAGCCTGCGCGCAGCTACGTGTTGCTGCACTGCAACATGCATGGGATCCCACTTGCAGCTATCCTGCTCTGCACCATCCAGGGATTCCTATACCATGCAAGTGTTCATCTTTCTCCATCCCACTGTCTCTGCCAGGGAAGGACTGGCTCTTATTCTTGCTTTTTACACTACTTTTTCAATTATTTATTTACCAAAAAAAGCTCTTGTACAGCTTAATACCTCACACTCCACTATGCTGAAATACTTCTGTGATCTAATAGAATCATAGAATAGTTTGGCTTGGACATTTCCCCAATATGTTAAATTAGGAAAAGCAGAACACTAAGAACAATTGAGGTAGTCTTTGCAGGGAGTATAATTATGACTTACTTGCAAACATTTTGCAAAAACATGACCAGCTTTGTATTTCTGCTAAAATAGAAATATGCAAAAATTGAGGATTTCTGATTTTATTTCACATTTCTTAGGCATTTCTAATGGTGATGAAAGCATTTCCATTGTTCTGTTTAACTGAATATTTTATCATTTAGTAGTAGGGCATTGTGGTAGCTCAGAACATATTTGACTCTTTTTAGAGCTCCTTGCACACTCTGATTTGTTTTGACTGCTATTTCAACTTGTTCTTCCAATCTTTTGCTGTCTCCTTCTTCTTTTAAGAATGAGCTAATTCGAAGCAAATATAAACTGTGCTAGAATTTCCATATGCTGCCAGTCTCTAGAATTTGGTAGTAGGCTTTCATTCATTCCACCAAAGAATATATTTATTTTTATTTTTATCTTTCCAATTTAAATGAAGCTCCTTCCTCAACATTTTTTTCCAAAAAGTTCCTTTTTCTGCAGTCCAAAGCTGATTTAGCTGAATTTTGCTAGCTGACTGGACTAGGAACTCATTGAAACACACACTGCATTTAGCTTTTGACAATTCCTCGGTTTGGGATGAGGAAAAATCTCTGATGTCTTTTCTGCTACCAGTACACTTCTAGCTCCCTTCTTCTTTTTTCAGAAGTGCTGAATCCATTTCCATCTGGTACTTTCTCCTTGCAGGAGGAATTTAATAGAAGGAAGAAGCAGAAATGTCATATAAAAATGATGATCTAAACATGAGCTGGGCAAAGAGCATTTCAGACATATCTGTGGCAGGGAATCAGCAACACTACAGACAATATCAGCAAGCGTAAATTGGCCTCGGAATAGAAGATGACCAACGCACAGAGAAAATAATCCCTGGGAAAAGCAGCAAAGACCCATTCCCCTGCATGCCTTTTTAGAGTGAAACTATTAATGTACTCGTTTGATGCTATGCATAGTTTCTCCTGATACAGTTAAGGCATTTTATTCCATTGGTTAAGCATTAATCCATTTCTATTTACAGGACTTTGAGGCTACTAACATCATGAATGTCACAGTCGCCTTTTAAATAATGTACCAAAACCTTGGCTGCTGTAGTTGACCAATCTCAAAATGGCCTTCATGCCTCAGTGCAAAAGTATCTTCCTCTACTATTCCAGACATCCATCTGTGCAACATATTCATGGGCTTTAACACCTAAGAGTAATGTGTCAGTGCCTCCTCCTTTGTCAGGGACAAATCATTATACACTTTGGGATACTTCACTCCTATTTCTATTATGCCATGCATTTAAGTCCCCAGCTGCCAACCACTTGAGAACCAGCACTTACATCCCTGCCCCACTGCAGTGACCACCCCCTTCGTATGGTCTGCGCAATGACTAACGTGTCCCTTTCTGTTCTCTCCTCAAGGCTTATAATATTATGAAGGTGACCCATGGGACAGATCACAGCCTGATGCAAGCCTTGATGGAGATAAAAGAACAGTGTGAGGCCATCATGAGAACACAGTGAAGAAAACCTCCAGTCTGGAAAACAAAATATTCAAGGAGAAAGGAAATCAAATGCTTTTTATTGCATTGGGAAGCTTCTTGATAATTTTAGTGTCTTTTCATTAGGTCCTACTTGCTTTACAAAAATGTTTAGTATTTATTAGTTTTGCTGTATGATCTGAATTGAGTTGATGTCTGGAGAAGTATCTGCAATTTTCAGAGGATTGGGGTTTTTTTCCCACCAAACAATCTAATTGACAATACCTAATTATCAATTTACAACACCTAATTTAATTGATAATAAGTATTGGGAAATGCATACAGAGTCTTCACCAGTTACAAAGTGATATAATTCCATTGATATCAGCAGTCAATTTTTTATACCAGCTTATGCCAGCAACTAAGAATCTCGTGTCAGACACATTATAAGTAGAAAGAATATATTTTTTCCCTTTGCCTTGCCCTTAGGTCTGGTTTCCAAAAGCCTGATCTTGTGCTCTTTGACATCAAATAAGTTTCCCAATGTTCTAAATGAGATTTTCCCCCCTCCCAATATATCTGCAGGGCTCTGTCCCTCTTCTTCTTGCATTTCATATGTTATAATATTGAATATTAAAATAGATTGAATAAAAAATTTAGTCAGAAGTGTATCTATGTGGAAATCGCTTACTCTGTTTTCTCCCCATTTTGACTGCTTCAGGAGCGTCTCACTTCATACCAGTTTTAAAAAGAGAGGTTTGGACCTATGAGCTCACAGGTGTGGTTTCTAGACCTTTCTGAGCCTGTGGGGTTTGGATTTCACTTCCCCAAATAGCGAAGCTCTGAGACCTACAGATGACCGTTGAATTAGGAGGTCATCCCTGGGGGAGAGAAGGATGTCTTGGAAAGCACAGGCTTCCCATTTCCCCACGCTCATCAGCGAGAGAATTGTTCTTGCCAGAGCTGCTGACTTCCATTTTTAACACAGAAACAAATGTTAACAAAAGCCAAATATTTATGAGGAACATTGAAACCTAAATAATTTTAGGCCTTTGAAAGTATCACTTCAGGTGTGTCACTCCTCTCTAACAATTTATTGCTGCTACTCCAGCCATGACTGTTATTTCATTAATCCATCGTTGTAAAGTCAGGCTTTTTTCACACCAGCAACTTGACACCATTAATTATTATGAGATGAGAACACATTTAAAAAGAAAATGAACACTCTGGGCGTAATTTACAGCCACAGCACATGAATGCCAACGCTGAGGAAGATATCTCCTTTCAAGGCGTTTGAATTTGTTCCAGCATATGGAGTGTTCACTTGCCCAGCAGTAATATGCAAGCAATAACCTATGAAATGCAGTGCGTTTCTGGAGTACGTAGCATGGCTTGATGCCAGAGGCCAAGTCATATCAGCCACCCAAGAAGTGCAATAATCCTTGCAGAAATTCACTGCTTGGTTGGGTCTTCTTATTATTATGAAAAGGAAATTATCCGGGGGAAAAGGTCAGACCTTTGCATTTATTGGGATTTCTGACAAAGTAGTGCCATCACTGATGGACAATCAGAAAATGTGAGGGGTACCCTGTCTTGAAGAGCTATTTTCTGGTTTTAAAGGGGCACATGCATGTTAGAAATCATGTGCTTTTGCATGAAGACGATGCTTATGTTATCTCAGGATTACATATCTAATACTGATTTGCAAATGGAAGTGACTTCAGAATGTAAGGTAAGACGATGCATTAGTTTATGCAGCATATACTGGGAGACAGCCTGCCAGCTCTCGTGTATGCAGACACATCTGTGTGTGTGAACTGCAGCACTGTTTTCTGGGGCTTCTGGTACAAGGACACCTCAACTCTCTAAGTGCAATAGCAGGGAAAGGCAGGCACTAGGGGAGGGGTAGAGTTACTTGATGTCAGATGAGAAAGGCCACATTACATCAAGCTGAAGGATCTACCTACACTGGTATTTTCTCCTCAGCAGTGGTCTATAGCAGATGCTCAGGGAAAATATGAGAGTGAAACAGTTCAACAACTGTCTGTTGGGAAACGGAGAGTGTGCTATGTTGGCTGCAGAGCATCACAACGGCAAGTGCTGCCATGTGCATGGGGCTGTAGGAAATTGACCCGCAGCTCACTGAGCAATGCAAGAAACCAAATTGGCCCCAGGTTGGTCTGTGGCTCAGGTTTCCAGATCAGTGTCCTGAGGGCACCGTCCCGTTGCCTGCCCTGCCTGGCCGCCTTCTCTGGGCTGGTCTGCAGAGATTCCTTAGTACGGGGGCATAATTCATGCTTTATATTCATTACTGTTGATGCAAAACTTGCATTTCTTTCACCTTGGTCAAGGAAAGAGTCAAGTTTTCTGGTTGGTTACAGTAATTTACTGAGCGGTTTCCCTTGGAGGTTCACATGTACTAACACCACCAGCAGGGCTGCTGATGCTGCAGAGGAGGTTGTTGCGGGCAGATTTTTCTCTCCCAGTGTTCCCACTCCAGCCTATTTTCTGCGAAGAAGGCCGGCTGGTGACTGCAGAGAGATTTAGCTAAATGCATCATTTGAAAGTGTGGTAGCAACAACCATGCCAGCAAGGAAGGAACATTAGATAAGCACTCATTTCAAATCAAATAATCTTATTTTTTCAGCTCAGACTCAAAATAGCTGGAGTTGTCTTTGCACAGACATCATGTTTTGGCCTTCAAGAATAATATCTGTCAAATTTTTCAGGTGGTATCAGCTTGCTAAGATAAAGATGCTAAAGTCAGAGAGAGAGAGGCAGACTGCAACATTATCTATCTGTAATGCTGGCAGGCTTGCTGCTTGCTTCCAGCAGGTCAGAGACTTTTCCAGTACCTTTTGGAAAGTAATGGTAAGTTGGGTTCACCACAAGGTTTAGAAATATATTTTGATTTGTCACTATGCCTTAAATTAGTCCAGGAGCAACAATGTTAGATTGCACTTAGAGCGAGCATTGCATTGTAGTATGTGTTTGGAAGAAAAGCAGTACCAACACACAGGAGAAAACATGGGGGAAGGATACAGTTTTGCTGAGAATAATTGATACCAGTCGAACAAAACACCTGTCTTAAAAAATAAATAAATAAAAATTAGTTCCCTAAACTGTGCTGTTTCTTTAAGCATGGTGTAATTCTCTGTATCCATACCCTCAAGGTCTGCTGACCTGATGCTGGAAGTAAAAACTCTCTGGGCCCTTAGCAAACAGAACTTGCAGTGCATAGCAGAGGTAGTAGAAAGTAAAGACACTCATGAGAAAATGCAGTGAAACAATTTTTTAGAGCTGTGACCTCCTTGAGTCTATCAACCTGTGTGTGGAGTTGTGCACAAGTTTATGCCAGCAAAACTCTCCCACCACTCAGCCCTTTCTCTGCTTCTCGCTGTAACCCTGTTCTCTGGAGGCTAGGTTTTTTAAGCTATCTTTTCTTAGACTTTTTATTTTTTAACACAGCATATTTGTGAAATACAGAGGCTGTTTCCCCGCACAGCATATTCCAAATAGTCCCTGGCCACTGCAAGACTCTTAATGAACAGAGTTCTGTTTTTCACAGAGGTTGTGCCAATTATGAGGATTTTTTTTTTTTTCCTGATTCAGAATTAAATCTCCCATAAGACAAGGAGAAGAAGGAAGGTCTTACAGTGATGGATGCAGAGTTCTGGCTTGGCTTCTCCGCTGCACAAGAAACTGTGTCTGACCTTGGGCAAATCAGCCAGGGTCAGACTGACATCCATAGTTGGACTTTGTCATTGTGGGTTGTGCGGGACGGAATGGCATAATCGTATTTTCTCGTAATTACAGGCATTGCATGAGAGTTCCTCCAAAACTGAGTTGCCACACATGGACAGAGTGATGTGAGCTGCCCCTGCCTAAGCCATGCCTCCTCCACATAGAGGAAGCTTTGGTCTCTACCCACAGCACTTCAGCAAACTAAAAAACTCAAAATTCAGCACAGTCTGAAAATCCCAAGCAAATACCTTTGGGCATTTCAGACCAAAGCCACATTACAGCTCCTCTTTTTTTTTTTTTTTCCTTCTTTTAAATGGCTATTTTCTCTTTCCCATCAATGTACATTTTCCTATACAAAAGTCCTTTGCCATTTCTGATTTTACAAAGTTAATCAGCCTGAAAATACATTTGAGATGGCTGATTTGTAAAATGCTCCCTGCAAGAACATTTAAGTGTGTATTTTTCCTGCCCTAAGCATAAAGAGTGCACCTTACCTAAAAGTCTGCAGTCTGCTATTCTGGCCATTCAGCACAGTGGTTTCTGTTTATCCCCAATAGTGATGTGTAAGCCGTGCCTATATGACCCCCATTAGTATTTCATGGGGAAAGTTCAAGGTTTTTATTTGCTCTGCACTTGTGATCAACATGGACAAATCAATTCTAATTCCATCATTCTTTAGACTTTTTGTAGGTTTTAATAAGGACCTTAGTGAAATCTTGTGCTTTTACCCCAAAAAAAAAAAAAAACCAAAAAACCTCAGGCTTAGTAATTAGGCTTCATACAGTCACTGCTCACACAGAGGAACCTAACAAGTTCTTTATAGTTCCCAGGAGACCAATTAACCTTCTTTTAAATATATCCCTATATAGCTACAGAGACAGGCACGCACAGAAAGGCACATACACACAAGATTTTCAGTAGTCTTAGACGCTCCAGCTCTGTGTTAACCAAATTCTGATGGGGCTCACAGCAAGCAGGCAGGGCTGAAGCATCCTGCCCGAGTCCTTTTTAACTCCAAAGATGCCTCAATGAGGACAGAGCACAATCTCTTCTTCCAACTGACCCCAGGACAGGAGGAAGGGGATAATCACGCAACGCCTTCTTTGCTTAAAGTTCCTCTCCATCTCCTGGGCTCGGGCAGGCAGCACTTGCTGGTCTCCTTACCTGGAGCTAAGGAGCCTGCTCCCCCGTCTCTGTTTCAGCTAAGGGCTGGTCTAGTGGGGCTGACGAGACTGGAGGAAAGAGCAATGTTTTCTTCCTCCGCCCCTCCAATTCAGCAGCTCTGATTCCCAGTCCCCAGAGGCTCCAAATACGAAGGTGGCAATTTTACATACCTCTCAGAGGAAAGCTGCACTTTAAACCACAGGTGATTCCTCTTGACAACTCCACTTGACTTTCAGAGCAGGAGCCAGGAGACGGTAATAGAGAAGGGCGTCTGATGAGAAAATTAGCAGAGCTCCACTCCTCCCCTCCCCCAGGCTCTGCGCTCTGCTCTGTGCTATGCTTCCCTGTTTACTTTTAATGATGCTCCTTTTAATGACGCCTTTTTAGTGTTGCCTTCCTGTTGTAGTAGGTGCCAGGTGTGGTGCTGAGCATCCTGTGATGGAACAGGTAGAGGAGATGTCTGGCCTGATCCTCCTTGTGCTGTCCCTTGCTGAGCTGGGGACACCCAGGTGATGTGTTGCAAAGTCACACAGCTGCCATCCCTCCCACTGGCAGCAACACACGCAGGAGACCACAGTGAAGGATGGAAAAGCTGTTGTAGTCTTTGGAGAGGGTTGTGGGCATCACACCGCTGCAGAGAGGAATTGGCCTCCATAGCTATAGCAGTAGCCTTACAGCTGAGGGACAGCTGGGGGTCTGGGAACTGGAGTAGTAGAGATGATGGGGACTGTGTGAAAGGGAGCAGTCACTGACTGCTGG